AAAGACTAGCCTAACACCACGAAATTACTTAAGTGGCAAGCTAAATCACTTCCAGCTAGCTATTTCTAGTTGGTATCACATTAATGTTGGTAAATCCTAACTTTTTTTCGTTATAGACTTCCATATAAGTGTGACCAGAGCCCAAATTGGTACCTTTAGACGTACAGGAGTAGGTTACATGCTCTATATATAGAATTAATAATTTGTTATACTTTGAAATAAAATATAGATTTAAAGTTGAAGCAATAAAGAGAATTTAAGATATGCAATCTAATAACAAAAATCATATGCATATAATTTTTATACTTTTATATAGGCCAAAGTATAGTTAGTTTAGTTTTTTTATATATATTATCTGAGTTCTATATAATTACTATAATCATATAGATAAGTATCCTGGTTAGCAAATACTAATTTGTTAGTTGAATTTTTTAGTTTTATATTTGTATTTTAGATTTTTTTGTTAGTTTAATTGTTTTCTTATTTGTTTCATTTTAAAATATCTACCTTCTTATATTTCCTTTTATTTTATTTTGTTTTTCAAAATTTTGCTAAAGAATATTACAAAAAAACCTCCCTAAATGCACCCTCTCAAAACTATAGTAAAAAATTTCAAAAATGTATATTTAAAGAGATATGCATTTATAAAGAACAAAATATATAGTATTATTATAAATTAGAACCAGACTACACTATATACTTAGAGATTTTATATAGAGAATGTATTTATAGAGAATGTATGATGCAAGAAGCCTATATCTGATATCATATGACCAGCGTGGCCAAAATTCTGGAATCATGTGATTATGAAATTATCCAATAAAATTTCGCTTATACGATAATAGACTATATTAAACGAAAATATGCAATGCAAAGATAATATATATAAATATAAATAGAAGATCATTAACAATCAACTTTCTTTTTTCGTAACTTGCAAATAGATATATACAATAATATATCTTTCGCTAGAGGTGCGTGGCCCAATAAAACTTAGTAATTACAAAGTAGATTTTTTTTTTTTTTTTTTTTTTAATAAAAAAAAAAAAAGTACATTTTTTAACATAAGTCGCTAAAATAAAAAAAGTTATGCAGAAATTGAGCGAAAGTTTCTTGAACTAGATTTAAAAGAACAAGAGTCACCAGAAAAAAATTTGGCTTGCGTAAAATAAAAAAAAAAGATCAAAACCAAGCCATATCTTTGAATTATCCGATAGTATTATCTAACATATATTCTCCATATTCTTGAAGGTGATAGCTCAAATTAACGGTGTGAACCAACTGCAGGTTTTTTCAACCAATCTTACTATAATAATGCCACCTTTGAATAAAAAAAGACGCCAACTTGAGGCTGCTAGAAAATCGAAAGGTAAACGTGTTCGTTCAGAAAAAAATAGGACAGTACGTGAATATGATGAACAAGATGATTATGAACAAATAAATGAAGAACTGAACGATCATATGTGGGTAGATGAAGAGATCGATGAAAGAGCTGCTGATTACTTTGATATTCTACTTTCAGCTGGTAGGAACAATAATGTTTGGAAGACTTTGAGAAGACCCATTGTTAATTTTGGTGATTCTGGAAGAACTTTAAGGCGAAAAAAAGCCGTGTTAAAAAAAGCCGCTCAAAACATTCAACCTATTACCTTTTACTTATCTTCTGCTTCAGCCCACTCCTTAGCACCTAACACCACTTCGACCTGTGCACTTTCAGATGCAGTTGCATTGGTACAATCAGCAGAGGAAAATAGAGAGAAAAATATCGAAGGAATTATGGAGGGAATTATGGAAAGAAATACGGAGGGAAATATGGAGGAAAATAGGGAGGGAATTATGAAGGGAATTGTGGAGGGAAATACAGAGGGAAATACAGAGGAAAATAGAGAGGGAATTATAGAGGGAAATACAGAGAAAAATATGGAGGAAAATGCAGGAGAAAGTATAGAAAAAATATAGCTAATGAAAAAGAAAGAATAAAATTAGCAATCGAGGAACTGACCAATTTATTAAAAAAAGATGATAGACATATGGATAAAGGAACTAAAGTTCGCTTAAAAGCATCACTGCAATACTTGCGGTTAAGACACCAAGGTTGGACTAAAATTCACGCAAGTGTGACAATTGCTAGCTCATTAGGCTGGGGCGATTATAAAGCACGATGTATTCGTACATGGGGTAATGAATGGTTAAAGTGGAGAAGATTACCAAAGGATAATCGCGGAAAGTTTATAAAGGTAGTGAGTCTTATTAATGATGAAAGGATATTTTTAAAGTTAAAATTTCTCTTATACTGTATAATATTAAAATATAATTGTTATATAACTCATGAAGACACATTTTAAATAGATCATGTTATACTTAAGAAGTTATAAATTTAGTGTGAACCCTAAGGTTCTGAAAGAATTTGTAGAGAATGAAGTATTTCCGTCTTTAGGTGTTGAAAAAAAAACAACTATCAGTGAAAGAACCACATCAACATGGCTCAACAAGTTGGGATGGCACTATAAGGAGTGGAAAAAGGGTATATATGTAGATGGTCATGAGCAAGAGGACGTGGTACGATACCGACAAGAGATTTTTTTGCCTATGATAGCGAATCTAGAACCCCTTCTTATTGAATACGATGAAAATGATCTGAATAAATTAGTTGAAAAAATATTCCCCCTAATGAAATGCCACATTGTATAATAACACATGATGAAACAACATTAGCCGCAAATGATGATAAAAAGACCAGATGGGCTCCTGAAAGTCTGTAATTTTTCTTGTTATTTTTTTTTATTTTTTTATTATTTTTATTAATTTTTTTTTTTACTTTTTTTTTTTTATAAAAGGTGAACAAAAACTATGTCCAAAAGGACGAAGTAGATGTATTTACATTAGTGAATTTTTATGTGAGCCTTTGGGGTGTGTTCATTTAACTACAGAACAACACTTATCCTATCCAGAAATTCCAAACAGATATGTTACAGAAATTCTTGAAGTTGGTGCAAACCATGATGGTTATTGGAATATTCAATTGCTTGCTAAACAACTTAAACACGCGATTGATATTTTGGAAATTGCACTCCCCAATACAATCTTTGTTTTTGGGTTTGATAATAGTTCTAGTCATGGTGCCTTCGCAGAAGATGCATTAGTAGCAAGTAGAATGAATATAAAATATGGTGAAAAACAGCCGTGAATGCGTTTCGGTCGATTACCTGATGGTACCCCTCAAGAGATGGTCTTCCCACTTGATTATAAGAAAGAAAAAAAAAGAGGACAGCCAAAAGGGATAAAACGAGTAATGAAAGAAAGAAATATTTAAAATCAGCGATTAAGGGCAAATGTGCTAAGTGCTCAAATGATAAGGAAACGATCTGTTGTAATATAAGAAAATTAGCTAGACAGCCTGATTTTATGGAGCAAAAAAGCGTTCTTGAAGAAATTGTAACTAATCGAGATCATAAAATTTTTTTTTATCCTAAATTCCATCTTGAATTAAATTACATTGAATACTTTTGAGGTGCACTAAAACAATATACAAGGAGCCATTGCAACTACACATTTCAAAGATTACAAAATATTGTGCCGGAAGCTCTTAATTCTGTGGATGTTATAATGATTAGAAAGTATGCAAGAAGAGCTTCGCGGTATATGGATGCTTATAGAAAAGGATTGTCACTTGCTGCAGCCGAATTTGCGGTAAAAAAATATAAATCTCACAGGA